ACCAATTCTAACCTAATGCTGATCAGTTGCTCTTATAAACTAGGGCAAAAGATTTAAGAATTGAAGATACTTCGACCAGTAAATCTGATCAAAAAGATTTACTTGGCCCTGAAGTGTTTTTAATTTTAAGAACTCTCTATGAATATGGCCAGGCGACCTCTATCATCATGATAAGACAAAAGAGATTTGTATATTGTCTGGATATATACTGAACTCCTAACATTTCAAAACGAGTGGGTACAAGAGAAATTGAAACTACAATTGGGATTGAAGTATTACTGAATACAGTAGAACCTCCCTGTAAAAGACACCTAATTGCAGAGCCAAACTGTCCTTTAGAGAGAGGTGTCCTCTTACAGGAGAGTTACTACAGTAGAAGCTCCCTGTAAAGGACACCTAATTCCAGAGATAAAGTGTCCTTTAGAGAGAGTTGACTTCTTACCGGAAAATTGCTAAAGTAGAACCTCCCTGTAAAGGAAACCTAATTCCAGAGCCAAACTGTCCTTTAGAGAGATGTCTTCTTACAGGAGGTTTACTACAGTAGAAGCTCCCTGTAAATGACACCTAATTACAGAGACAAAGTGTCCTTTAGGGAGTGGTATCTTCTTACTGGTTGAATTGCTACAGTAGAACCTCCTTATAAAGGACACCTAATTACAGAGCCAAACTGTCCTTTAGAGAGAGATGTCCTCTTATCGGACAGTTGCTAAATAGAACCTCCCTGTAAAGAAAACCTAAGTGCAGAGATAAATTGTCCTTAAGAGAGAGATGTCCTCTTACCGGAGAGTTGCTAAATAGTAAAAAAGGTAATTTTGCAAATGAAAACTGTCATTTATAGAGAGGTGTCCTCTAGCGTGAGTGTTCCCTCATGGAGATTCTACTATATCAGCATTCTTCATTTAATTTCTCTATTTTAAAACATATTTAAAAATAAAGTATACGTTTTCAGAGCTAGGTTAAACTTTGTACAGTGTGAAGGTTTGGCCTGTACAAAGGACATTTTCGAAAAGAGAAGCCAAAAGATCTAAAGGTGGATCTACGAAACCATCAATCTTCGTCTGTTACGTGTAAGTTCTGGCATGCTCTCGTCTGACTCACGTCAGCCTTCTTGTGCCAAGTCGACTTAGCAAATTGATACTGTACTGCTATGATAAGACATATATTGGATTGTAGATTAGAAACACAAGAACAAATCCTATCTATTTATTTGAGTTTAGTCTTATTACATTGTGTGTGAGGGATTGAAACTGCTCTATTACAATGTATATTCGAAAATATGCTATCGACTATGAGACCATTCAAAACGAATTACCAGTGCTTTTTCGTAAAAATACTGAACAATTAATTCAGCAGGACTTAGCAAAAATGGATCATACAATATTATATTCTAATTATAAATTATTATATAAGTATTTATAATACCTGAACAATTTTTATCCTGGAACCTATCATTAGACATAAAAGGTTACATTACCTAAACAAGAATTACTTCGACTTTACTAAGAGAAAGTCAAATTCAAATAATCAAAAAGGAAGATGTAATTTGTAAATTCTACAAAATTGAAAGCATAGAAGAAATGACCCACTACATCTCTGAATGCACTATTGTTAACGAGGAACGGAATAAGATCTTAAAGAACATTATCCAAGTCTACGTGAACCCAGTTCAGCTAATCAGAATAATGTCCGAGAAAAAATATATAGCGATAGAATTGTTTAACTTTCATAAAGCGTTAGAGAACGCGGTAATCTCTAAGAACAAAAATTGCAGAACAATTTCCTTCCATAGTTAATTTGTATAGTTATGTTGAATACTTTGATTTTCTTTTCATTTTCCATTCTCTCCTTTGTTTTTCCCCCTTTCTCCATGAAAATGATGTATGGCGAGTCCTTACAGGACGGAAATTTCCTAATAAAGCTGTTGTTGTATATTAGAAACTATTATAGACACGTAAGATTCTTTTACAAATTAAACAATTTCTACTGCCTTTACTGCAATGAAAAAATTAATGGGAGGGCCTGGTTCATTTCCCATGGTAGATTAAACTGTCGAAACCGCTGGGAGGGTTCACCACTGATAAGCCAAGTGCTCCCATTAATTTTTCCATTGCAGTAAAAGCAGGAGAAATTGTTTAATTTATAGAAGAATCATACGTGTCTATAATAGTTTAGAATTTTGATAACAGATGGCGCGCTAATGCATCATAATGCAATGAATATAGATTAACTTAATTAACATCCTATAACGCGATATCCCAAACTCAGGGATATTTGCGTCAATACATTTCTTTACATCATAACAAAATGGCTATATACAAGGAGAAAAACAAACAAACATACAAAAGCAATTATCTCAAAATTTCCTTCCCTCTCTTTCCCAGTTGAAAAAAATATATATTGTATTATGTATGGTTAAATACAAAATTGAATATAAATGAATATATGACACATTAAATATGTTATAACATCTTGATAAAGGTTGGCGTTCAGCCGACTGAAATATTGGTAAAATATGTGATTTTTTGATCTAATATATGTGTTTTTAATTAAAAATGTTAATATGAATATATATAAATAAACTAAATAATGATTAATATAAGGATAAAATAAATTTAAAATATATATAAAATAATTGATGCAAGGTTTTGGTGACCACTGAGGGAAAGATTCTGCCACCGATGGACCGCCAGAGTTATTTCCCACAGAGTGGGCAGGTCGATGAAGTAGCTGGCGTTACCCAACTCAAGACCAAGATAGTACTTGTAGATGGTAGCCTTCACCACACTTGTCAGTTGCATTGCTTTGGGATGGAGGCCGACACCGAACAGTCGCAGGGTAGTCCGTCCCATCCCCAAGGCACGGTCATTTGGCAGGCGATGGATAGCTGCCGCTATCTGGTCGCGGGAGATATTGGCGAAAAAGAGCTGGTACCACTCGTTGAACTCCAGGGGTGTCACTTCAGCTAGGAAGTCGGCGATGGCTTCAGCCGAGCTTGGAGCCTGAGCGAAGCGACTGCTCAAACGATCCCAAAGGAAGCATCTAAGCTGGCCCACGTAGACAACTTTGCCGTTTTCGTCGATGTAGGTGGAAGGAGGGAGACGTCTGGCTCGGAGGGAACGCCCGAGGTCCGACAAGGAAGGATAGTCGGAGTGGGCAGTGTCGTCCTCCAGTCTTCGACTGAGGAAGTGGTTTGCTCTCTCGATGTATCCACCATTGGGGCGGGTGCGAGGGACGGTATGTCCATGATTAGATCTGCTTTTACCCCGGTTCATTGTTTCCATAACATCGGAGATGAAGGAATTGCTAGGTCTTCCAATATTTCATCGATGAACGTTTCCATTCGATCGAAAAACAGGTCTGACCGTAGCAGCTTGCCGATGCAGGGAAGTCTTGTAGAAGCTGGTTCTCCTACTTGGATCAGGACGGCACGGTAGTCCGAGTAGGCGTAGTCGATGGTTTGGTATTGGGTGACGCGGTCGCAAAAGCCTGATGGAAGTAGGGTTCTGTCTAAACGACGCGCTTCGACCTGATTTCCGTTTATGGCAAACCTGGTGTGGTCCAGTGCAGCATCGAAGAAGGAGGAGACGTCGACGAGGTCGGCTTGGTCCAGGAGCTCCGCGAGGGCTTCTGCTGAACCTGATGCCAGGTTCTTCGCCGACTGGCGGCAGCGCTCTTCAAAACATGAGAGACGTGGGCGTTGGCACTAGTCACTATCCAGATGGGGATCCAGAAGTTTATAGTAGATTTATACATAGGCACATAAAATATAGAATTACCTATTCTTAAAATCACACACCTAACCATCGATAAATAATATTCTTTTATTTGCTATACTATCCTCATATTTTCTTCTTGTCCCAGGTCTGGACTTCAAGTCTAGACCAGATCCTGAAGGTCTCTTTATCACCTCAATGACCACAGCTGGGTCGGTGTAGATGTCTGTTCGGCAATACCCGATGCATTGCATGATGTGTTCTGGGCTCGCTGGAGAATCCTGACATTTGGTGCAGTTTATAAGTTACTTAACATTTTATTAAGCTGAATTTGTACATAAAAGAAAAACTCCGATATATAATATATTACCTCAAAATATAGACAGATCAAACACTCAAAAAAAAAAAACCTTCAAAAAGAATTAAATAAACTATATCTGGATCTAAAATTTAAGTTTTATCTTTCTCAATCCAATGAACTGTTCAAGAAATTCTTTCCAATTGCTGTCCCAAATTTCATTTCTTCTTATAAATTCACTACTTTATTCTTAACAGGCAAAGAACCCTTCTTAATTTTCCTATTCAAACTGAATGCTATTAATGATCCAACATGCGAATGCCGCTTAGATGTTGAATCACCAGAGCATCTTCTTTTAACTTGCCCTCTGACTAATCAAATTGTATGTAGATACTTTGAAACATTACCAAATTCTCTTTGTGTATATACTCTATCTTATGAGAACTTTGTTAAGTTTAGAACTATTTGTACAATAATTTACAAAACACTACTAATCCATCGTGTAAATATTTAATCATATATATGTAAATAATACTAGCACAGCACAATAGTCCTTTGGACTTCGTGCTTTTGTAACAATAAATAAATAAAAAGAGTTACTCTAAACAATTTAAAAAACATATATAATAATATAAGGTATAGAGATTAGTTAAAGATTAATATTTATTTTAACATATACACCTGTAGAAATGTTTGTAATACCCGAAAGTTTGAGAAGAATATTCAATAAAACAAGAAATTCACCCTCAGAGGCCATTTTGTTTATTATATGTATATATTTTAGAGGATTTTTTAATTTTCCGAAGAAATCTTGTGGATCGAGGCTGAACCAAAATTTTGATCTTGATATATTCATGACGATCACAACATTTTTTATTTATTTATTTCGTCTCGATTTACAGGTGTTACATTCGAGTCACCTTGTCCTGGCTATTTACACATGGCGTGGAGTAGAGGTGGTCCCCCTAGACCTTGCAGGAGGAAAAAAATGCCTAGAGCCGGATTTGAACCAGGGACCTAAGGATCATTGCTTTAACATCTACAGTCCTCCACTCTGCCAACTGAGCTATCGAGGGATTTCGATCACAACATAAAAGTATCACACGCTTTTATATCTTTCCAATCACATATTTACATGATGTCGGCCTCCCGAGTTTTAAAATATGTTCCAGATATTCTAACTGGCAGATGAAGAATCGCTGTTTGTCCCCAGCAGGTCGCTACGTATTGAAGATATAGATTGCGGAATAATTGCAATGACGATTAAAAAAAGTATACACCGATCAAATTAATTGCAAAAAGTTTCTTTAATATAAAATATAAAACGGCTAGCTTTCAAGCGTTAGCTCATCATCAGGCCAAGTAATTTCGCAATATTGAAGTTATGGGTCGTCGTGTACAAAACGTCCCATTAATTTACAGCTTATTTTAAAGCCAATATTGTGGTGTGGGGAAGCCCAGGTGGAAGGCGTCCAATGAGAGGCTGATGCCAGAGGAAGCCTGGCGTTATTTTGGAGGACTGCGTAGTTGGAACAATGTTCCCGATATAGGTGACGGCTGTGACAATGGGAGTCCGTTGGTTATGGCATAAGACCACCTGTCAACGCTGGGTCACTTCCTCAAGAGGTCACTTACTCGGACTTTCACTTCTTAAAGCCCCTTTCCCCCTTCCCGTGCTCACTCTTAATTGTAACTTTGCCCGTTGAAGAGCTCGAAAGATCGGGCTGTGTTTAATAAAAAATATCATCCTATACTTTCATATACTTTGAATCGCATGAAACATTACCTGAATATCATGTCTGATTCTCCAATCGTATATGGAACGAGTATTTTTAATAAAGGCCTTTTGCTATTGTTAATACCTTTGTGTTTAACGATGTAAATGAATGCACATCATCCTATACTTCCATATACCTTGAATCGCATGAAACATTACCTGAATATCATGTCTGATTCCCCAATCGTATATGGAACGAGTGTTCTTAATAAAGGCCTTTTGTTATTGTTAATACCTTTGTGTTTAACAAATTAAAATTCAGCCAGAAATTGAATGCACCACATCCTGTACTTTCATATCCTTTGAATCGCATGAAATCTTTACCTAAAAATCATGTTTGATTCCCCAATCCTGTATGGAGCGAGTGTCCTTAATAAAGGCTTTTTTAGTTGTTAATACCTTTGTGTTTAACACTGTCAAATTCAGCCAGAAATTAAATGCACATCATCCTATACTTTCATATACTTTGAATAGCATGAAAGTTTTTACCTGAAAATCATGTTTGATTCCCCAATCCTGTATGGAGCGAGTGTCCTTAATAAAGTATTTTTTATTATTGTTAATACCTTTGTGTTTAACAATGTAAAATTCGGCCAGAAATTGAATGAACCGTATCTTATACTTTCATATTCCTTGAATTGCATGAAATCTTTACCTGAAAATCATGTTTGATTCCCCAATCCTGTATGAGACGAGTGTTCTTAATAAAGTCTTCTTATTGTTGTTAATACATTTGTGATTGACCTGGTCAAATTCAGCCAGAAATTTAAAGCACCTTATCATATACTTTCATATCCTTTGAATCGCATGAGATCTTAACCTGAATATAATGTCTTATTCCCCAATTCTGTATGGGACGAGTGTCCTTAATAGAGTATTTTTGTTATTGTTGATACCTTTGTGATTAATACTGTCAAATTCATCCAGAAATTGAATGAACCTTATCATATACTTTCATATCCTTTGAATCGCATGAAATCTCAACCTGAAAATCATGTCTGATTCCCCAATCCTGTATGGGACGAGTGTTCTTAATAAAGGTTTTTTTGTTGTTGTTAATATCTCTGTGTTCAACACATTTGTAAAATTCAGCCAGAAATTGAATTCCCATCATCCTATACTTCCATTTACAGTGAATCGCGTGGAAGTTTTACCTGAAAATCATGTCTGATTCCCCGATTCTGTATGGGACGAGTGTCCTTAATAAAGGCCTTTTTTAATTGTTGATACCTTTGTGTTTAACACTTAAAAAATCAGCCAGAAATTGAATATCCTACTTTCAGATCCCTTGAATTGTATGAAAACGATTAACATGAAAATCATGTCCGAATCCCCTAATCCAACTTTAATAAAGGTTGATGATAATTTTTTGTTGTTGGTATCTTTGTGGTCAATACTGTGAAATTCAAACAGAAATTGAATGAACCTTATCCTATACTTTCATATACCTTGAATCGCTTGAAATCTTCACCTGAATATCATGTCTGATTCCCCAAAATTGGTGCTGATGTTACCTCTGTGATTGAGGTTGTAAAATTCACCCAGAAATTGAATGCACCGTATCCAACTCTCATATCCCTTTATTTTCATAAAAGCTCTCTTTATATGGATATCATGTCCGATCCCTAATTTTGTATATACAGTTAAACCTATCTATAGCGCCCCCTCTTGGAAATCACCAAAATAGGATGCTATAGAGAGGGGGTGCTATAGACAGGTCACTTTTAATGTAAAATGTTACATTTTAATGTTTAAAATCGGACGCTATAGAGAGGAAAACACTATTTAGAGGGGGCGCGCTATAGAGAGGTTTAACTGTAATTGGATAATACAGCATCCTAGCCCCAGAGATGCTGCTAGTTAAATGCATCGGAAATCCAGTTTTGTAACGCCAGCCCAGCCTCAGATAAGGAAGATATTATGCTAAGAGACCTTGCTAAACCTCATCTAAATTTAACCTGTTTATTTTCCTTTGGGCCGCCGTCATTCTCCTCATATTTACTCTTACGCCCGGAAACTGCTGTTTAGAAGACTTTCTCAACTCTCTTTGTACATCTATTATCTCATTTTTCCAGAACACACAGCTCCATAAACGAATCATACCGTGTAAATTTGATAAGGCACAATTTGGATTATAAACACAAGGTAATAAGACCAAATCTAAATGATAAGGCACAATTTGGATTATAAACACAAGGTAATAAGACCAAATCCAAACGATAAGGCACAATTTGGATTATAATCACAAGGTAATAAGACCAAATCCAAATGATAAGGCAAAATTTGGATTATAAGCACAAGGTAATAAGACCAAATCCAAATGATAAGGCACAATTTGGATTATAAACACAAGGTAATAAGACCAAATCTCCAATGATAAGGCACAATTTGGATTATAAACACAATGGTAATAAGACCAAATCTAAATGATAAGGCACAATTTGGATTATAATCACAAGGTAATAAGACCAAATCCAAATGATAAGACACAATTTGGATTATAGATAAGAAACACAAGGTAATAAGACCAAGTCCAAATGATAAGACACAATTTGGATTATAAATTATAAACACAAGGTAATAAGACCAAATCTCCAATGATAAGGTACAAGACACACTCATGGACAAAACTTAAGGAAGTTGTTCCTTTTACCATGTATATCGGGATTCAGACAATAACTCTGAAAACGTTATCAGTATATTGAATGATTGAGCCTGTTTTGCATACACCACGTGCAGGTGATTTGAGAATTTTTTTGCTGAAGATGCCAACCTTGAAGATAGAGAAGGTCGTCGAAGCATGTTAGAGGTTGACAATGATCAATTAAAGACGATAATCAAAGCAGACGCATAAAACTACCCAAGTAATTTTGCCTGAAGAATTAAATATCAGCCATTCTACATATGTAGATGACTCCTTTTTGCCTTAAAATTGAAAGAATTGCAAAATAATTCTGGTATATACTGAGGTAAAACCTTTTTTAAATGTTTGCTCATAATACAATCATCTTTCTAACCACTCTAATACGTGGGTGAGAAAAAGATAGAGCTATATTCTAGTGTAGATGGCTCGTTTTTGCCTTAAAATTGAAAGAATTGTGAAATCTTTCTGGTATATACTGAGGTAAAACCTTTTTAAATGGTTTGTTCATAATACAATCATCTTTCTAACCACTATAATACGTGGGTAAGAAAAAGATGGAGCTATATTCTAGTGTAGATGGCTCCTTTTTGCCTTAAAATTGAAAGAATTGCGAAATCTTTATGGTATATACTGAGGTAAAACCTTTTTTAAATGGTTTGTTTATAATGCAATCATCTTTCTAGTGGCTTTAATACGTGGATGTGAAAAAGATAGAGCTATATTCTAGTGTAGATGGCTCGTTTTTGCCTTAAAATTGAAAGAATTGCGAAATATTTCTGGTATATACTGAGGTAAAACCTTTTTAAAATGGTTTGTTCATAATACAATCATATTTCTAGCCACTAGAATACGTGGGTGAGAAAAAGATAGAGCTATATTCTAGTGTAGATGGCTCCTTTTTGCCTTAAAATTGAAAGAATTGTGAAATCTTTCTGGTATATACTGAGGTAAAACCTTTTTTAGATGTTTTTTCATAATACAATCATATTTCTAGTGGCTTTAATACGTGAGTGAGAAAAAGATAGAGCTATATTCTAGTGTAGATAGCGTGTTATTGCCGTAAAATTGAAAGAATTGTGAAATATTTCTGGTATATATACTGAGGTAAAACCTTTTTTTAAATGTTTGATCGTATTACAATTATCTTTCTAACCACTATAATACGTGGGTGAGAAAAAGATAGATTTATATTCTAGTGTAGATGGCTCCTTTTTGCCTTAAAATTGAAAGAATTGTGAAATATTTCTAGTATGTACTGAGGTAAAACCTTTTTTAAATGGTTTGTTCATAATGCAATCATATTTCTTGTGGCTTTAATACATGGGTGAGAAAAAGATAGAGTTATTTTCTAGTCACTTTCCAAACTAAAGGCTCGATGTAGTCCCGCCACCGCTGTAGTTATTTCAGGCGGCAGAGAATGCGGAGCTGAGAAACTGCCAGCAAGGGTGGTGGGGGTGGGGTCTAAATATGGCCCACGCTGGAAATACTGCGGTGTGACGGCCAGGAATACCTTGTTGCCATCCCGCTGCTACATCGACCACCTGTTGGGGATCTACCTAGTGACCTGTAACTCTTCTTCCGGGATCTCGAGTGACCTGTAACTGTTCTTTCGGGAGTCTCGGGTGACCTGTAATTGTTCTTCCGGGATATCTCGG